CCAGCTGGGGAGTGCGCCAAGAGAAGCAGTCTCCCCGCGGCTGATCCTGCCGACCTGGAAGTGCCAGTGGTGTGCTGCTGCCAGTTACATGTCGGTAGGATGGGCCGCAGGGGGACCCCCCCCCCCCAGCCTGCAGGATCGGGCATGCTGATTACTAACTCTAGTTGGACGGGGGGGAGGGGGAAGTGCCCCCACAACTTAGGAGGCACCAGTTGTCCATGGTGGGGCCCAGCCTCATGAACCATACTGTAGATCATAAGCCTTTTGGCTTTAAACTAATACCTTCTACAGCTTACATTCTGCATAAGCATACATAGAAGTATTTTTCAGGAGTGTGTTTATCAAGTTCCTATGTCAAAACAGGCAGTTTACAAACAGGCAGTTTACAAACAGGCAGTTTACAAAAAGATAAAATGAAAGCAGTGATTATATAACAGGGGTTTTCTGTTAACATTCTGTTTAAGACCTGCATGGCCTCCTGCATAACTAAGTCTGTATATACCATAATAATCTGTATATGTGCAAATTATCATGGGTACTTTTAACTCATTTATTTCAAAGTTGCTATTTGTTGGTCCCCTGTATTTTGAATTAACAAGGTTTTCCTGTACTCAAATGTGTCCTGGAAATGACACTTGTTTTTGCATTGTATCTGTGACTTGTTAATATGCTCTCAGATGGAATTTCTGGATACATGTACATTTCTATCATGGCATGTTGCCAGCAATGACACTAGTGAAGCTAGCTGCTGAAGATGGTGGGGTATGAATACCTGCCACTACAAAAACATTGATATCTTTGGGTTATTTGTAAATTTTACCCTTCTGCTCAAGATATGAGCACCGTTACAGGCAGCTCCAACTTTGACTTCTGAGTGATTCTCTGCACTGGGTTCAAAAAAATTTCCTGTTGACATTTTGAACAGGAGCTAGTGAGTTTTGAAGATTTCTAACATCTGGCAAACTACAGGCAGGTAGGGTATAGGTTTTGTTTTTCTGGACACAATAGTTTTTGGAATGTTGCCTGTGAATTGGGTATACAACTGTAACTTGAGACTTGCTGTCGGTAACCTTAGTATCCTGTTGGTTTTTTAACTGGTTGTGGAAGCAAAAACAGCAGGAGTAGGTTGTTTTTTTTTAATGATATGATCTTTGTTTTTTGACTGTCTTAGGCCTCCTCTACAATGTGCAGGTAAAGGCACAATGGGATCTAATGCATGATTCACATAAGCACACTGCCTGCCATGCCACACATGCATGGCAGGAGACACAAATATGGGATTGTGCATTAGATCCCACTGTGCCTTATTGTTGGTGCAAGGGGCGCCCCCTGCATGAGCAAGAAGCAGGCTTCTGCAGCTGGGAGCCTAACAGACCCCAGTTGAGGGGCTTCCAGCTATAGAGGCGCCCCACATGCCCCAAGGCTGGAGGATGGCTGCTGTGGCAATTCCCCCCTCCCCCCATCTGGGGATGCAGGCAGTGGGTTGCTGCAGGGGTATGCCCCCCCAACCCCAGGGTGTGTGAAACTCCTAGCATTAGAGGATCACTGTGATCCTCTGGCCCCAGGGGTTTTATGTACCCCCGAACCTTAGAGATCACAGCAACAGTGATCCTCAGGGTCTAGGGGTTTCACACGCCCCAATCCCTGAGGATTGTGCCATCCATGATCCCCAGGGTCTGGGGGTTTCACTCGCCCCCGAGCCTTGGGATTGTGACTGCCGTAATCCCTAGGGGTCAGGAGTTTTTTGCGGGGTAAGGTGCACCCCTGTGGCTGGGAACCCCATCACCTGTAGGACTTCCAGCAGCAGGGGAGACCCTGCTACATGTGCAAAGTAAAGCTCAATAAAAAACACATATAAAGTTTGTACACATTTTTGAGGTCTAACTTTATAACTGATTAGAGCTTTTTATTATGTGATAGCTACTTTGCACATGTAGCTGGTCTCCTTATCATTGTGCAATTAATCAGTTAATTATGAAATACCTGTAATGTGTAGAGAGGGCTTTATGTGTTATGCAGGTGGATCACTTGAAGATTACTTGGAAACTTCAGCTAGTTCAGAATATATAAATCAATTTATTTTGCAATGCTTTTGTTATGGATCATGTTGTGCTTATGTTGCAGATACTTTCACTGGCTGCTGCCAAGTTACTTCATTCGATTCCAACGATTGTTTTTGAACTGTAAAGATTTTTTCATGTTTTGGGCCCTATTTGCTTTGGATTATTTGAGCACTTCTTTTTTTTTTTTTTTTTAATCTTCTGGTTATTATGGAAGACCTTTCTGAATACTTGGACATAAGCTGAAGGGATTCTTGAGGAAGGTTGGAGTGGTTTTATTTGTTGCTAAGTGATGTTGTTTGCACAGTTTAATATATGCATCTAACAGTTGATAGACATGTCTCAGAAAACAGATAAAATAAAATCCTGTAAAAGTAGTTATAGTATAGAGAATTATTTGTCAGGCATTTCAAGTACATTTTGGATGTCACAAACATCCTTGTTGGAGAGATCATTTTCTTTTTTGGTTTTACTAACCATGATTTAGACTTATATCAAAAAACTTCTAGATAATGACTTAGGAATATTCTGTACCAGTGAATTAATATGAGTACAAGCAACTGAAAGGTTATTAGACTCAGTCAAGCCTCTGTTTTCTTTCTGTCCTCCTGCTTTTTACCATATGTATCTGTTCTTTAGAAACTAGATTTACTGACTTGCTAATTGTACAGTTTATGGTAAAACCTGATCTGCTCTTTAATGTTCCAGTTCTTTAAGTTCCCTCAGGCAAATTTTAAGAAACTTTTCAAGTTCCATTATTTCTAAAACATTTTTGAGATGTACAGATTCCTGTAGCTACTTAATTAAATAATCTGATTTGTGTTGTGTATTCAGAATAACTTTCTAGATATTTTTCCAGTAATACTCGCACTTCTGTGGCTTCAGAGTTGACTTGGGTTTTAGTAACAAAGTTGTTTTAAACTATTTATATTATATATATCACATAGTATGAAACATATAAAACAAAGTAGCCCTTAATAGTTTCCTTGATAATGGTATTGCATTATGATAGATCATCAAAGGTTTTGCACCTGCCTGTGTATATTGGAGAGGTGAAAATTTCTGTTACGATTTATTTGAATAATCTGCTTTCTGCTGTATATTCAGTCTTAATTTCACTAGAATTTTTTTTTCCCAAGCATCTCTATAAAATGTTTTACGCTGGACCATCTTTTGTTAATATCTTATCTTCTCTATATTGTATAATTACATGATTCTAAGATGAGGTTCCCCCCCATTTAACATAGGGGTAAAAGCCCCCCATCTTTAGAATTAAGTATGGGGGGGGAGGGGCAGGCAGCTAGTGTGGCTTGGACTTCATCCCCTACCTGCAGCTGGGGCTATAGCCACAGTTGCCTCGCCCCCCACACAACTTCTGCACTCCTGTATCTCCCCCCACCCCATGCAGAATCTGGGGCTGGGGCACATGACTTATGAAAAGAGCCTGAGGGAACTGGGATTATTTACCTTGGAGAAGAGAAGACTAAGGGGGGATTTAATAGCAGCCTTCAGGTACCTGAAGGGTGATTCCAAAGAGGATGGAGCTAGACTGTTCTCAGTGATGACAGATGACAGAACAAGGAGCAATGACGTCAAGTTGCAGCAAGGGGAGTTTAGGTTAGATATTAAGTAAAACTCTCTAACGAGGAGGGCAGTACAGCACTGGAACAGATTACCCAGAGAGGAATGTCCATCCTTAGAGGTTTTTAATATACGGCTAGACAAATACTTGAGTGGATGATCTAGTTGGTGATGGTCCTGCTTTGAGCAAGGGGTTGGACTAGATGACCTCCTGAGGTCCCTTCCAACCCTAACTTTCCACTATTTTATGATTCTAAGTTTTCCCCATACATAAGGAGAACCATGGAGGAAACTGAGGAAGAAGGTGAGCATTGGATGAAAAAGGGTAGGATTGCTGGTATATCACAATAGGTAAGTAGGAGCAGTCTAAGTCAAGGGTGCCCAGCTCCCAGCCCATGGGCCAGATTCAGCTCCATTGCTTCCAAATGTCTGGAACATGGAGAGCCCTGTGGGCCAGATAATGTGCATGCTAACTTGCCTGGGCAGAGGTGGTGCTGGAGCCCAATCCTGATGCTCAGAGGCCTGATCCAAGTGCATGGGGATGGTGCTGGGACCTGATTGTGGCATGTTGGGTCCAACCAGGGCCATGCCAGATGTAGACAGCACAGGGCTGAATCCTGGCACATGAGGCCTGATCTGGCCCACAGACAGGCCCTGCATCACTCATCTAGCTCATAGGACCAAAAGCTTGAGCACTGATCTAAATTATGAAGTTCCTTTAAGTATAAGGTTAGAAGCTTGTATGGACCTTAATAGGAAACAGGTGAAAGGACTTAAAGAAAGGGCTCATAGCTTACAAATAGACTTAAGAAAAAGAGTGGAGTTATAGTGTGGAAGCTATGAAATGGTGAGGTAAAGGTGGATGCTTTTCACTTCGTGGATGCAGGAAAAAAGCCCTATTTCAGAGATGTTTAAGACTGAGAGTTGGGATATAAATGTAGCTGGAATGTCGAGGCCAAAGTTAGAAGTGCTAGTGACTGGGATGATTATGGTAGTATCCGTTAGGAGGGACAGAACTGGGGATGGTTCAAAGAAAAAGACTTGGGAGGAAAGATCAAGAGAGCTGTTTGCTACTAGAAGTGTTCTTTTAAATTACACCCAAGACACAGGATGAGATATGGGTGAGCATGGGCATTTCTGTCACGTATCAGGACGTTCTAATATTTAACAATGTTTTTCCGAATGAAAGTTTAAAAAAGATGGATTTAAAGACAAGGAAATGTTTTATTTCAATATTTTTATTGAAATTAAATGTTCTGAGTTAGTTCAACATTGAACTACACATGGCTGTAATGCAGTAGTGCCTTATGGGAATTTTGCCTTCACACTGTCATTGTTCCCAGCAAAATTTTCCACAGTGTTTTTTTCAGGCATGTGATTCACATTGTTCTCCGCACAGCTTGGTTAAAGTAGAGACTCGTGCATCATGGGAGTTGTAGTCCAGTTTAAAACTCCAGCCTATAGGGGATGTGAGGTATGGGATATCACCACCGCATAAGCAAATGTAATTAATATTGAACTGACATGAAAAAAGAACCATAAGTTCAGTTCAGCAAACTGAAGTGCTTGGGTTCCTACCAAACCAACCTAACACAAAAGTTTTATTTCTTTTCCTGATGGCAAATTAAAAAAAATTGTAAAATCAAAATTTTGCTGCAGAAACATGTAATTTTATAGAATCTGCTTATTTTGGCAGAAACATTTTTTCCCCTGAAAATTCTCAGTGGCTCTTGCAAGGATTCTGGTTGTTTTTGGAGTAGATTATTCATCCTAGCATTCTAGCAAAACTGTAGCCTGTGTAATTGTATGCTCCCTGCCTAAATTCCCCCTGAAGTTTCATTTGGAAAAAAAAAATCTTTGTTGTAAAAGGGTACTCCTAAATAAGTCTTTTGCAAGCTAATGGTAGATGTAATGATATCTGTACATTAATTACATTTTGTAAGTGGTATCTTTTGGGAATAAAGAAACTGATAATTTTAAGGGATAAAAGTAGTAATAGGTAAAACCTAATGAATTACATACCAAACATAAGAACTGAATTCACTTAGCATGTTTTTTCTATAATTAAATACTTAGCATCTCTATTTGCAATCTTGAGATAAAAACTAGATTTTTTTTGTATTAGTTACAGAGGTTACGACTGTCGGAGTAATCTATTTTATACTCAGACTGGTGAAATTGTATACCATGTTGCAGCAGTTGGTGTAGTATACAATCGACAGCAGAACACACAGCGCTTTTATCTGGGTCATGATGATGACATCCTCTGCCTTTCTATTCATCCCTTAAAGGACTATGTGGCAACAGGCCAGGTAAGATGCATGTTTAGTGCATTAGACATCTGAAGCTATTTTAGCAAATGTATAAAAAAATATTTAGGATCTCATAATGTACAAATGTGTCACAGAAGGTTTGAATTGTGTTGGAGACAGGGTGAGGTTTAAGAACTGATAAAATCCATCTTTTCCCATATGTTTTGTTCAGTTACTTATGATGTTTTAAGTGTTTTTTATGATAATAAACGATGAATTAAAATAAGTACAAAAGTTTTAATTTTTTTATTTTTAAACCACATTTTATTACTTCACCACTGAAAAATGGGAACAGCCCTATGAAAATAATATTTTTAGGTTGTTAAAGGAAGCTATCAGAAACATTTATCTTGTGTTCTGGGCCTCCAGTTTAGCCTGTGCCTGATTAAGTTTTTGATTTATCTTATGTCCATATTTCTCAAAACTTCAGTTCTGTTTAAGTGACATCTCATCAATCTCTAAGCAACAAACACATTTAGTGCCTATTCCAGTCCATTATTTTAAACTTCTGCTTTCTTAGGCATTGTTTTCACAACAAGAATCCAGGGTTTGATTTGGGAAGAAGATTTTGATTTTTAATTAAGTCCAAAACTAAGAAGCCTGTTGATACAGCTGAAGACAAACATTCTTAGTTGGACAGCTCACCAAGTCCTTTGTAATTAAAAGGCTATAATTTCACACTTACATTGGCAGTATTCCTGTTCTGGATAAAAAGTATATCAGAAGTTAATTTAAACAGACTGGCTCACTTAAAGATTAAAGTTTTATGTAATTAATGTATTGACTTTTGGAAGCAAAAAGAATTGGGGCTGGAGAGCCAGAATCCCAGGCTGGTGGTAGGGACACAGGGATCTTCCAGGGAGAGTAGCTGTCCTGAAAGTGCCTTGAGTTCTAGGAGCAGGGGGAGAGGGCCTGGGAATGCACTGAGTGTTGGGAGTGACTGGACCTCAGAAGTCTGAGTACTGCTTGTGCTGCTGCTCCCAAGCACTTGGTGTGTGGGGTGGGGGAGCCGAAGCGATCAGGGTTCAGGGACCCAATGGCAGGGAATTTAGTCAGCTTCAATATACACATTGGATTTATTTCACATTACAACCTGCCTGACATCTGATTCACCAGATACCTGCCAGACCTGACCTGTTACACTTTTCTTCTCCCCACCCCACTCCTCTCCTCCCCTCCTCCTTTTCTCCCCTTTGTCTTCCTAATTTCCAGCTATTTACTTTTTCACAGTCAGCCTCTTTTCAACCTTGAATTACTAGTACTGTAGACTCTCCCTTACTCACCTTTGTTCCCTCCCCACTTCCTTCCCTGCTCTACCTTCTGTTTTTCTAATTTCCACCTATTTACATTCTCACTGACACCGTGTCACACTTTTAGCTTCTTTCATTCCTTGGAGTCTCAGAATAGCAGTGACTTCCTATGCCTGAAGAAGGGTGATTGTGCCCAAAAGCTTGCAAAGAACTTTTTCTCAACTACTCAGTTGGTCTAATAAATTATATCACATCTTTTATCACATACAAAGGGTATGTACATCTGTATGGCTGGCTCTTTGAAACATTTCAAAGATGTTTGAAAGATTTCAGATGTTACATCTGCCTCCATTTTCTTTTTATTCACATTTTAAGCTTCAGGCCACCCCATATAGCTGTAAGTGAATCAGTTGGAATCTATTCCTTTCTGCCATAAGAACCCTTTTTTAGCTAGGTTTGAGTGAACTGCTTTGGTGATAAAATCCTGAAGAAAATAGAATTACACAGGTACCTTGGTTACAATTTAAACTCCAGGGCTTTTATTACTAGTAATGATGCATGAAAAAGAAAGAAGTCATCTTGGCCCTAGTGTACTTATAAGCTAGTAATAAAGACATCCTTTTTTTAAAAATAGAACAGTTGATACAGAAATAGCTGAGACAATAAGCAGTGCTTTCCTCATGTCATCTGTGGAGTCTATTTTCAAATAGAATTTTGTCATTAAGATTCCTTAATTGTGTTTAATCTATTCACATTCTTCCTTAGAAAGAAGAAAGGGCCAAATCTAGAAAGTAGGGTATGAGGCAGATGGAATAATGTTCATATCTCTAGTAGAGCTACAATATTATTTGATATACTTGTAGACAAGGAGTGAGGGAAAGATGAATCATCAGTTTAAATTGTTTTAAATACATCATTTATGTATTTGCAATTGTAAGATAAAATTGTGCTTTTGAGAAAACATACCAAATATGATGACCAAATGTAAGTCACAAACAACTGCCTATATCCTTTTCTTTTTTTAGGTTGGTCGGGATTCTGCAATACACGTTTGGGATACAGAGACAATCAAACCACTGTCAGTTTTAAAGGGCTATCACCAATATGGTGTTTGTGCTGTTGACTTTTCAGGTAATATATATTTTTTATTTTTTTATTCTGTTTGAAAATACAGTAAAAGCCTTGTTATCCGGTATGTGTGGGGCAAGAGGGGTGCCAGTTACCTTAAAATTCCGGTTATCTGAGAGTTATACCTATCAAGGGAGACAGGAGTGCAACGCAGCCACCCCTGCCGGAAGGAGCCCAGTGCTGCCCTGGCCCCAGCCCACAGCAGCAAGCTGTCTTGCCCTGCACAGATCCCTTTCCTGTCCCCCTGCCCAGCAGCTCCTCTAGAACGGCTCCTGGCAGCTTCTCTATGGGCAGCATCACTAACTAATGTAAACAACAGAAATACTTGATGTGCATGCTGGATAGAGTCAGCAAAGATTCTGGTTGCTAAAGTAAGATTTGTATTGGGAGATATTGGAAATTGCATCTAATAGAGTATTCCAGTTTGTAAAATGCTGGTTAACATAGCTTTTACTGTATAATGATTCTCAATTTAAATATAAGTGGGTGTAATAACCTGTAAGTTGGAACAAGTGTTATAAGTGGATGATTTGGAGGGTGACACCAAGAAGCTCCATGTGCTGGGGGAGTTTCACAGTAGCTTGGAACATCCAATGCACCTCAGTGCGAGGCAAACAGCACCACTGAGCACACAGCACTTCAAGTTCTTGCAGTCCAAATGGAGTCCCTTTATTATTGCACAGAGTGCTGGTGCATGAAACATAGTGGCAGTGGGCAAGAACAATAGGAAAGAGTGTGTGATTTAAAGTATCACCTACACAGCAAAGAGAGAAGGTATCATGGAGAGACTCAGACCATCTGCACATTTGGATTTCCAGTCAAAGAACCTGGCAGCAGCATGAAAGCAGTGGAAGGAAGAACTGACTTTGTACACACAGCTGATAATGGTAGACTGATATGAGAAAATGAAGGTAAAACTTTTCCATTACCTCATTGGGATAAAAGGCAGAGAACTGAGAGCTTTTTGGTGAATACTGTGACCCCAGAAAAAATGAGACTGTGGAAAGGTACTGCTGTTTTTACCTGGAATCAGGATCTAGAAAAAATGTTACAGAGCTGAAAACGCTGACATCCATGTGTAATTTTGGAAAGATAACAGACTCCCTTATTAGAGACAGAATTATTTGTGGGACATCTGATTCTAAGCTGAGAGAGTGTTGCAAGAGGCTGATCAGACTCTGGACAAATACCTCTGAATTTCACAGGGAGCTGAATTATCTAAGGAAGGAACCAAGATAATTGCTAGTGCAAAGCATGTACATACCTTCGGTTTAAAAGCAATGTAGGGGACTGAACAAAGATAGGCAAACTGAGAATGCAGTCCCCAGGTGCTGGTACTGCAGGCAGTGACATGAAAGACTGTAAGAAAAATGCTGTTTACCGGCAAAGGTGCCTGGGCAAGGGAAACAGAACTATTTTGTGTCCCAGTGTCTCTCTAACCACAAGAGAAATAAAGCTGCAATACAGGCAGTAGGGGAGAACATTGAGATTTTTTATAAGGAAGATGAAGTCTTCTCTGTGACTAGCAGATGCAAATACTCTGAACATACATGCATTACAGAAATTGTGACATGGCCATCTGCTATATTTGCAACAATGTTAACAGAGCAGCAATTAGTCAGATTCCAGCTTGATTGTGGAACCAGCTGCAATGCACTTTCATAGATTTCATAGACATTAGGGCTGGAAGGGACCTCGAATATTGTCAAGTCCAGCCCCCTGCCCCAGGGGCAGGAAAAACTATTCAGCAGTAATATCAGTTGGAGTGATGTGAGTAGATACTGGTGATACGCAGTAAACTATTTAACCAGTGGGTAAATCCAGACTATCGATACAAAATCCACAGAACAGAAAACAGTACCACTTGGAATTCATAGTGGTCAACACTGAAGAGTATCATCCAGTGTTAGGTACAAGCAGTTCAAGCCATGGACCTGATCTCCATGGAACACTAGAATATCTTCCACATGAGGCGAGAGCGAGGAAGCACAATATGGCTCTTGTCAGAGGTTTTACAGGAATACAAAGTTGTATTTGAAGGAGACAGGCACCTAGAGGCAGAGCAGACCCTAGTGGGGTGTGGGACCTGGGGCAAATCAGCTTGTGCGGGGCCCCCTTAACACTGCGCGGGGCTGTGGTACCCCCGCAAAGGGGCGGGGGGCGAGTCTCCATGCTCCTTCTGTGGTGTGGGGCTGAGCTGCCAGCTCCAGGCAGGTCCTGTGGGAGGGGCCGTGGCCGCTCCACCCAGCTCTGTGGGGCCCCACCAAAGCACGGAGCCCAGGGTGGTTGCCCCAATTCACCATACGCTAGGGACGGCTCTGCCTAGAGGCTAAGCTCAATTTATAACAGATACAAGTACAGATTTAAGTACAGCCTGTATGACAAAATGCAGAGTACCTATAGCCCTGGTAGAGCCATTCATAGGAACAAACCCACCTAAGAAGGGACTTTACTAAACCAGTGGAAATAAGCACCAACTGGATAAGCCGCCTGGTAGTGGTAAGTAAACTGAGGATTTGTATAGATGCAAATCCTCTTAACAGGGCATTGAAAAGGAGCCATTATCCATTACCCACTCTCAAGGACACATTGCCTGAACTCTATTGAGGGCAAAACTGTTTACAGTTTGTAATATAAAAATTGGGTTCTGGTATATCTAGCTAGATGAGCCTTCAAGCCATCTGACAATCTTTGCAGCACCCTATGGCAGATGATACAGAGTAAAAATGCCCATGGAAATCAATCCTGCCTCAGATATCCCAGCACAAACTGGGCACTAAGGGGACTTTAAGGAATCAGAGTTGTAGCAGATGAAATCTTTATTGTAGAAGACAGAGATAGCGAACATGATGCTAAGCTGTGACAGCTCCTAAACAGGTGTAGGGAGCAGAATATTAAGTTGAACCCAGACAAGCTGAAGCTGAGAAGAACTGATGTCTCCTTCTGACCTCAGCAGAACTATAGCTGAGAAACTGAGAACCATTAAGGACATGTCCTGAGAAATTGAGAGCCATTAAGGAAATGTCCAGACCAAAAGATGTGAAGGGGGTTCAGTGATTTATGGGCATGGCTAACTATCTTTCTAGGTTCTGTACATACCTCTCAGAGGCTTGTGAACTTCCAGCTTCTAAGGCAGCTAACACACAAGAAAACAGCATGGGACTGGGCAGAAGCCCAGGAGCAGGCTTTTGAAAGAATAAAGAGACTTGTAAGTGAGGTACTAATCTTGAAGTATGACAACCCAGCAAAGCAACTACAACTACAATATGATGCCTCAGAAGGCGGCCTGGGAGCAGTATTAATGCAGAACCAGCAACCTGTAGCATTTGCTAGTTGGGTCTTGACTGATACAGAAAAAGAGTTTATGGAAATAGAAAAGGAACTCATGGCTGTGCTCTTTGAAATGAAACAATTTCACCAGTTCACCTTCAGATAGAAGGTGAATGTACATCCTGATTACAAGCCATTGGGAAGGATTATGAAGAATACACTCTAGAGTACACCAAAGCAACTACAACACATGCTATTGTGATTCCAGTGCTATGATGTGAGTGTCAGGCACTGTCCTAGGAAGTCCCTGCTAGTGGCAGATACTCTGAGCAAGGCCTATGTTCCAGAATACACCACATGTGGCTCTGTGGAATAGAAAATCAAATCAGTCAATTTGTTACAATACCTCCCTGTCTCCAAAAGGAGTCTCTAGGCAATATGAGAGCACAGAAGTGAAGGGCTACAAACTGATGCAAACTATACTCCATGGGTGGCCAGGCCACAAGGAGCAAGTGCTCCAGGAAGTCATTCCCTCATCTGACAGGTTAGGGATGAGTTTTGTGCACAAGGTTGGAACTTGTTTAAAGGTGACAGAACAGTAATCCTGGCCAATTTGAGACAGGATATCATGAAAATAATACATTTCATGCCCGGGAATAGAGGTGTGCCTGCAGCGAGTTTGGGAGTGTGTCTCCTAGCCAGGCATGAATTTCCAGATGAAGATTGACATGGAGCAGTGTGAGGAGTGCAAAGAGCATGGAGACAGGAGGAAAAACTGCAGCTTGACATCCCAACATGACCTTGAAAAAAGATTGGGACAGACCTGTTTGGGCGTGTCCACACATACAAGCACGTGTGCTTGCAGCTGCTCAAATAGAAGCAGTGCAAATTTGAGCCGGGGCTTTTTGTCTCAGTGCACATGCTGGGGCATGCCCTTTGTTGTGGTGAAAATTGTGCCAGTTGGGGCAAAATAACCCTGCCTGGCTCCTCCCAGATCTGCAGCCAGGGGGAGCTAGAGCCCGGGGCCAGCACCTGTGCTGTCCTCAGCAGTATAAAAAGCCGCCTTGTCTTGGCCCCATCTGTACAAAAACCTGCCCTGGCAAGCAGCTCAGGACTACTCACTCTCAGGAGCTTCTGGGGCCCAGCCACTAGGTACCTGGAGACGCTACCCTTTGTGCCAGCTGGACTGCTGCAGCAGTATCCCAAATCCATTTTTAAAAATACCCCAAAATCCATGTTTTTCCACAATTAACACAAAAGACCACACACACACACACCCCCCTCCCTAGACAGAGAGAGACAGCAATCATTTGGGCAATGCTTTATTGGTATATTTACAATGTGGAAGCCTACCAGTGTCTCTATCATCATGATAAAATAAATTTTATATACCTATATGTGTTGTGTGCTTTTGGTTTTCTTCCCACATGATGGGTGTGTGATGGAGGGACATGGTGTTTGCAGGAAGGGGGTGGGAAAGGGTGTGGGGGAAGGTGGGTAGGTGTGTGTGGAGGGATGTGGGTTGATTTGTGGGTAGGTGTGGGGCAATTGCTGGGGGGACTGTGGGTATGGGGGACCTTGTGCAGGGGCTGCTCAGGAGGGGTGAGTTCCCTGGCCCCCACAGGGTGCAGCCCCCCCACACTGCATATGGAATGCCCCACCCCCACAGGGCCCCAGCTCTCCCCTGGAGGACCCCCATCCCCCACAGGGTCCCAGCCCTGCTGCCCAAGGCCCCTGCCCCCCAGCAATTGCCCCACACCTATCAGGGTCCATAACCTACTTTTTGCAGCAGCAGCAGGAGTGGGGTGCTCTGAGCCTGTTGCTGCCAGCTTCCAGCTCTTGGGGACCACGTGCTAGGCCCAGCCGGGTCCTGCCAGACTTGGGGACCTTCTGCTTCCCAGCTGGGCCAGTTCCATGGCAGCAAGACCCGGTGCAGCACGCGGGGACCTCATACCAGGCCCTGCTGGCCCTGGGGACCCTCTGCTGCCTGGCCTGGGGACCGGTCCGGCCATGTGGCAGAGGGGCCCCAGGGCTGGCAAGACCCGGCATGCCTCTGTCCCGCTGTCCCTGAAGGGAGGTGGTGTGTAGTGGGACCTGGCCCAGACTGGTGTGGCTCACTAGTCTGACTTTGCACCAGAGCAGGTCACACAGCTCCGGGAGGCGCGGCTCCTGTGTGCGCCTCCCGGAGCCGTGTCATCCCCCTGCCACCACTCACCCACCCACACCCATGAGCGGCCCCCTCCCTCCCCCCCCCCCATCTTGGACAGTGCTAGGGGCAGGAAACTAGAGCATCTCTTTTGGAGGACTGACTCCCTGCTGGTTCCTGGCACGGTCTGGGACTGTGTCTTGCTCTGTTGTTCTGCGGAGTGGTTTTTTTTGACTCTTGGATATCCCTGACACTAGAGGAACATGCGCTCGTCTGGATGCGCCCTTTGTGTTCAATGATAGAAACTATAGGTCACGGTAGATATTACTCCAGTTTTTGGGAGATAGACTGTCCAGAGAACACTCAAGCAAGAAGAGTAATCAGGATGCTGAAGGCACACTTTGTCAAGTATGGCATCCCCAATACTTTGTATTTAGAGGCCACAATATACAGGAGAGGAATTCAAAAGGTTTAGCACAAAATGGGAATTCAATCACAAAACTCTTTTCCAGGATACCCACAAAGCAATAGGAAGGCGGGATCAGCTGTCAGGACTAATAGAGAGCACAAAAAAGATGATATAATCCTCATTTGGCTTTGTTGGATTATTGCAATACCCCCTGTCAGGGACTTGAGAGCAGCCCTGCACAGACACTGAGGGGGCAAACAACCACTACTTGCCATGAAGGAAGTTGAGGAGGCTACTTCCTATGAGGGACAGCCTGCTGAATCTGAGTGGAGGGAAAGCAGAAAACACAGAGGGGCTTCTAAGAGTATGTCAGGACAGACAGGCAGCATATTACAATAGAGGAGCCAAAAACCTGAGGCCTCTCCATAGGGGAGAGGGTGTGAGTTCAACCATCCAGCAGCCGTACAAAACAATGGCAAAAGGATACTATCCAAGCTCTTATTGAGCCAAGGTCCTATGAAGTAGCTACCACAGAAAATTTTAAAAAAAAGTGGGCATCTGATCATTTCTTTTCTCTCTGAGCCACTCTCAATCACAAGAATCAGGAGTCCTCCTTGTATTGAAAATTGTGAGCAAGGATGATATTTTTCTGTCAGAAACTTCACATGCATTTAACTTTGGTCCTGCAGTCTGTCCTTTGGGTGAGATCCACCCATGGCAGAGTATAAGTTGAGAGACTTGGATCATGTCTGTTCTCTGGAAGAAATATGGTTTTCTCTTTCTTTTCTTATTTCGCCATGGTAAGGAGCCCTTATCACTTTCATCTTGTGTGCATTCTGTGCCTCAGAAGTCAAATTCTGACACACGTTGTTGATTCCATACTCTGTGCTGCATTCAGGGATGGTGCTTGGGTTCACCAGGGTCTCCTATCCCATATGTATGAGGGAGCATGATTCTGAGATGATGCATTCTGATACAGCTTGAATTTCTGATACTTGGAGAATTTCTCATCCTCCTTGTCTCATACTTTTCAGAATGTTGTTCTCTTTACCCAGTTTCCAGGAAGAAAGCTCAGGATCTTTAAACTATATGCACGTGATGGGAACATCATTCATGAATATGAGAAGTAGTGTCTCTTGGAGCTAGATCTGATTATATATGTCATGATTGTCTCAAGATGTTATCCAAAATTATCAAGATTTGGAAATATATCAAATTTCCTGAAAGTATCCCAGGGGTATTTTTGTAAATGCATTTTGCAATCATTCCAAAACATTTTTGCTTCTTCAGTGGAGGGAGAGAACTAGCATCTACCCACAAATTCATGGTGCCACATGCATGTTGAAGATTTTGTCAATCTAGGCCATTATTGGTAGAGTAATGACCAGCATGTTGTAGAACATGGAGATCACTCGATTAGGATTGGAGGGATATCCTTGCCGCTGATTGCTGGTGTGTAGGATTCAATGTGGAAGTTTACTCCCAGTGTAGACGGACACCAGGACAATGACGTGGCTCAAGCTTATCTGCCCTTTCCAAATTTTTTAAAAAAGGTAAATCAATATTTGTTGCCCAGAAATCTTAAAAGTCCAAGATAGACAGATAATATAGGTCATTGAGACCGTGTCAAAGTTATGAGTAGAACCTGGCAATTATCTGCTTCAATCCTATCCACTGGACTGAGTCCATCCATCTACCCATAATCCATCCATTATTTAAAAAAAAAAAAAAAAAAAGCAACCCCCCCTCCCCAAATCACTTCTGCCTAAATGTAGTACACTGTGCTCTATTTTACCTGTCTCTGTATTGTTTCATCTCTCAGCATTACATGCAATGTTTGATATGCCTCAAATTAATATAATGACCTGGTTTCTTACTGAGGAGTAATTCACTTTATCCACTCTGATACATTTCCTTTTCCAGCTGATGGCAAACGCTTGGCTTCTGTTGGTATAGATGACAATCATACTGTTGTACTCTGGGACTGGAAGAAAGGAGAGAAGCTCTCAGCAGTAAGGTAGGAGTTCAACTATATTTCAAAATCTGTACTAAAATTAATTTTCAAATAGTAACATACAGAATGAGTGCAAATAGAAGCTAATATTAGAAGACATAAATGAGTAATTATCTTTACTTTTTAGTTCACCTAGTCAGTGGCTTTTAGCGTGTCCTTGAATCTCTTTCAGGAATAGAGTTGTAGCTAAAGTAGAATCAACAGGAACTGCTCTGAAAGTTAGGGGTTGAGACGGAAATAAGAACTAGATATGTTCTTATGGATAGATTGTAGAGGATTTTTTCACATTGTTGTGCGATTGAGTATGTGGGACATTTTGTAACAGTTTCTTCAAAACTCACTACATAAACCAGTATTTTCCATGTGCCTAGTTACAGGTAGTATACCGCTCCCGTCAATTCAAAACATAGACTGTACATAGTTCTTGTAATTCCTTTTCCACCAATTGGAAGCAGTACATTTACTCAACATTTCTCCTTTGTGTAGTTGCTGGACCTAGAGCCTCTTTCTTATTCCTGGTGTTAGAATTACTTGGCTTCATCCACCTTCCAATCTGCTTGCATCTGAAGTGCTTTCCTAGGCATTCCACAGACGTTGGCATCTGCCTTACCTTTTCATCATAGGTCTTCAGTAATGGCACCTTTTCATATTGCATCCCTTTCCGATTGGGTGGTCTGGAAGATTACAGTTGTTTTCTCTTGAGGATATAAAACTCTTCTTGCAGATCCTTTCTCCTCCTTCCCCAACCCTTTCCTTTGAGGCTGTGGAAACTTGTGTGTGTCACTGGTTGTGACTGACCCCGAGGCAATGTGGTCTTTTCTAGGTAGTTCAAATTCTCTTCAGTTCAAGTTCTTCAGATTTGGTCTCACCTTGCTGGTGTTTAAAATATCTGGCCACGAATGGAGAAATTAGCTATGGTTCTCTTAGCTCATTAGGTTTCTCCTAGTGGATGGTCTATAAGCCTGCCTGTAACATGTCTTAAGGATTTTTAATTTCTTACCTTTTTAGTGGTGATTTGGGAAAAAGAGAACACCAGCTTGCTGTCAGGAGAGAGTTCAGGAGCAAAGATCTTGTCTTTACTATTAGTTTCTAATGCTTCTTGTCTTCATTTACTACTGGGATCTCTTCACAAAATAGGAGTTTTCCCACTGCAGACATTTGATACAAATCAAAGATGTTTGATTTTTGTTTTTATGAAAATTACAAATTGCCCTTAATCAGCAAGTTTTTTTTGGAGATTTCGCCAAACTTCAGTAGTACTGTAAATATTTGGATACAACCCATATGACCCATGTGTGGAAGTTAAAAAAAAAATACGTGTCACAGCCCATGCTGGTCCAAACTTTAAAATGACTCTCTGCTGCTTAATTGCGTAAAATGAAATGGAATCAACACAACTTTCTTTTGCTCAGCAGAGAAAAAAATGTTTCATATTTTTACTTCCACAGTTTTGATAGGCAGACTAGTTTGCACCATTTTGCACTTCAGCTGATATTAGTGACTCTTTAACAAACACAGTCTTGGTGAAAGCTAATGGTTTTAATTCCATGACAGAGAGTCTTAAGCCCTTGTTAAGCCAATCTTAGCTTTTAGTCAGTGCTTATTGTGCACACCAATGAAACATGTTAGACAGCCCTACTTGGATCTAACTCTTGTCTTCCAGTTAGGTCCTGTACATTTCTCAAATTTTCATCTTCCTGAAGTCTTTTGCCTTGGGTACTTTGGATTTTTCTTTTTGACATAGTATGTTTATGCAGACCTTATGGCCCATTTCTTTAGGCATCACGCACTGGTACAGGGCCTATCTGGCATGTACAGTATTTGGTACTCCAGGTCCTGTTTTTCCTTTTTGGCCAGAACCATAGCTCTGTTTCAGTGTTGGTTTTAGCACTTCAAAGCAAAAGCTTTTAGGTACTAAACTGTAAGTACTAAGATACCATTCTCAGTTGGGCACTGAGCCTGCTGCTGAGCACTTGTTTGGTCTATTGGTTTAGCGTTCCATTTGGCGTACTGGTACCTTTTTTATTTCAGGTTTGGCATACAAGAAAGAAAATGACTACTGAGTTTTTTCAAACTTGTTCTGTTCAAAGCTGATGACCATATTTGGTGTGTATGTACATTGGAGTCAATCATGAGGAACAGGAGTACCAGATATGTCTACAAATATCATTCCAAGTGTTGAAGAAATATGGGGAGGTCCAACAAGCCCTTCTTCAGGTACCTCAGGGAGGCTCCCATAACTCCAGCACAAGGTCAGCCAGAGTCAGTCAGAATATGTGAATGGAGGACTCAGTTCTGATGTTCCCTATGTCAGTCCAAACTTGTCTTCCAATTAAGGTGGTTTCACCAATGAAGTGAAGAGTTCTGCCAAGCCATGGCTCCTTGACATATTCGGGAACTTGGTATTTGAGGTAGGTGGAACTGAGCTTATCAGATAAGGAAATACTGTCTCCCTACAAGTGCTTTTCAGGAAGTCTTTCAGATTCTGTTCCTTGCCCCTAAGAATATGTTTGGGCTCAGTATCAAGAAGAGATGCTACAGTCAATCCTGTTTCTTATAGGAAAGAAACCTTAAAATCAGTACCACCGGAGGAGAGAGGGAAAGGGGTTTTATTCCATAGAGTTCTGAGTAACAAAAAAGACAGGGTGATCTTGGATCATGAGGAACTGAATCTGTATTGAGGCAAAAAGTCAAGATAATTATTCTGAATGCCAATATGCATCTCAGATGAACCTGAATTGGTGTGTGCTCTAGACATGAATTTTTGGAAGCACTTGGGAATGCTCTTCAATCATTAGAATCCGAGCTTTGATTTAAAGGAATATCACCCCCAACTCTGTCTTGCTTTTTTGGTTTGGTATCTGCTCCATGACATTCTTGATGATAGATGATTATTGCTATGAAATTAGTCTATATATATCTGTGGCCCCCAGGATGATTGACTAAGGATGCTGCTTTGTGCTGTGTTAAAGAACAGCCCCTATTCTTCTTGGGTATGGAGTCATTAGGGCCTAAAATAAATTACCTGCTATCTAAACTTGTTGCCTGCAGGCAAGTGGAGTGAGTTCTGGACTAGACCGCTCAAATTACCTTCTTGTCCCAGAAAATAATATTTCCAGATGAGTACAGAGGAGAACCAACAACCAACAGGTGACAGTTTAGACAGTGTTATAAATGTTAGGTCTCATGGCTGCATTGTATTCATTGTACCCAGGGAATATTTCCATTTGAGGTAATTTTAATGGTCTTTGATACTCTAGTGGAAACATGACAAGACTTTTTACATCTCATCCTGGTAACAGTCAATCTTCATTTTACTGTGATCTCTTGGAGGGTCAGAGGCAATTAAAAGTAGGCTTTAAAACACCTTCTCTCCAAATTGAGATGGGGAAACCAGTGCAAAGGATTTCACATCCAGGGAATTTTTGTCTCTATAGAATTTGTAGCTTCTCAGAAATGTTTTAGAGATGAGGCAATAGTTGGCTTCTAAAGGAATAGGCAGCCTCCAACTCCTACTCCCACAGTTGAAAAATGATTGTTCAGTCAGGCTCAAGTAGGATCTCTTCCTTCAAAAAAACTACCTGCATAGTCTTTTTTTTACCTGTCTGAGTGTGACTGAAGGAGTAACTTCTTCCAGGTTTATTGAGCAGCTATTGTGGGCTATTACATGCTAATTGAAAATGAATCAGTTCAATATCTCAGTTTTTCCCTTAGAGGTTCATGTGGTGCTTGAAGCTTTTAAAAACCTTTATTAAAAACCCTCCTGTGTCAAGGGATATTAATCAAAAGACTGATGAAAGATCCTTTAAATGGCTCACTCTTTGTAAGCTTTTTGTTGGAGATATTTTTTTCTAATGACTTAAGATAGCTTAAGGCCCTAGAGGCTGACACAACTTATACCAGACTTAACAATGAAATGACAGTACCATGGACTCATTTTAGATTGTTGCCTAAGCTGGTATCTGAATCGCATTTTAATAAGCCTTTTGTTCTGCCAGGTTGGTTTTTGTTTGTTTGTTTGTTTTGGGTGGGGGAGGGCTTGGTTTTGCTAGAAGGAGAAATCAAATACACAAATACAAAATGGGGACTAGCTAGCTAAGCAGGTGCCTATCTAGAAAATGATCTGGGGGTTGTATTGAATCACAGACTAAATATAGTCAACATTTTGCTGCTGCTGCTGCAAAAAAAGGCAAATCTCACTCTGGAAAGTATTAACAGGAAAGTTGTATGCAAGACACTTAAGGTAATTATTCTGCCCTGCTCAGCATTGATGAGACTTCAGGTGGAATACCATGTTTACTTTTGGGCACTGCACTATAAGGCAGATATAGACACACTAGAGAGAACCTAAAGGAAAACAGTAATAATGATTAGTACAATGATGATATGGAGAAAGATTGAAATAATTGGATTTGTTTTTTTCTTGAAAAAATGGAAATGAGTGGTGGAGATGCACAAAAGTCTTCCAACATGTTAAAAGGCTGTTATAAAAAGGATAATGATCAGTTGTTTTACATGGCCATGGTGGGAAACACAAGAAAAAACAGCTTAATTTTCAATGAAGATGAGTTAGGTTGCACACAAGGAAAACCTTTCTATTAGGGTGGTGACACCCTGAAACAAACTGCCTAGATAAATTGTGAGATCTTAGAAAATTTTAAGAACAGGTTAGACAAATATCTGCTGGGGTCCATTTAGGTATACTTTGTCATGATTCAAGTTCAAGAATTATGAATAAATGATCTCTTTAAGTCCCTTCCAGGCCTACTTTTCTATGATTCTGTAGCTAGCCCAGTAAGATCTCTCTCTCCTTTTGGGCCAGGTACAGACATTATGCTTTTACTGGTATGAGTGATCAGAAACTGGTCTATACAGTACCCATAACAGAATAGAAGTTCAGCACACATAGACTGTCTTAGAAATGGTAGAACCCAGTCTAAGATTTACTCCTCCCCACTAAAGGACAAATGTGTGTTCTGTTCACTACTGATCTAAACTACACCGCTTACAGAAAACCATTTAACTTAGATCAATTCTGCTTCGGGCCTTTTGAATGTCTACAGCTGGTGTCAATGTCTACATTCATAGGTTTCTCTTTTCGCAAAGAGTAAAACCTACAGGAAGCTCCCATCCCTTTATTTCTTTTGATTTAATTTCACAGGGCAATGTTATTTTTAAAATGACCACATAAATACATTTTGTATTGCTAATATCAGGATTGGTTGAATCTGAAGTCACTGTCTAGGCTCATTCATATTAAGGCAAAACTATCATCATAACCTGCTTCTGTGATATCTCCATTAACATATCTTCAAAGTAGCTATATTTTCTACTCCATATACACACAGACTATGGACAGATATTACATTTGTAACACTATATATATTCCCTTGTGATTCTACAAAAGATGAGCTCACACATATTCACACTATTTGTAGCACTAGAAAAATGACAGCTCTTCTAGACACGATGATCAGTATCCAAAATGATAAAATACAGACCACGTTATACAAGAAACCCACAGACCAACATACATATCTGCACAGAACCAGCAATCACCCTAAACACACCAAAAAAGCTGTGATATACAGCCAGGCCCTCAGATACCACCGCATTTGTACTGAAGAGAACACCCAGGATTGCCACCTCATCAATCTTAAAAAGGCTTTCACCCAACAAGGACACTCCTCCAGAGAGATAGATCGCACGTTTGAAAGAGCCACCCGGATACCACGTGAAGAACTGCTGCAGTGCAGAACCCCCCCCAAATCGCACACCGCTGGTTATGACATATCACCCCTCCCTTGAACCTGTATGAAAAATCCTCAAACAACAGCAACCCATACTAGAAAGAGACCCTATTCTTAAAAAGATCTTCCCAGAGCCACCCATCCTCACCTTCAAACAAGCACCAAACCTCAGCAACCTCATCACCAGAAGCAAACTTCCTCAAGCGCAGAACACACCAACAGGATCCAGACCGTGCCATGACAAGAAATGCAAAATCTGCCAACACATCTCCACCACCCCCACAATTACTACACCCCACAACAGAGCCATCAGCATCCCAGGATCTTACAGCTACACCTCCAGAAATGTAATATACCTCATCCAATGCACCATATGCCCTGATGAAAAATATGTAGGAGAGACCAAACAACAACTGCGCACCAGAATGAATGCACACTGGAAATCTATTAAAGGCAAAAATACTCAATTACCGGTGGGGGCACATTTCTCACAGGAGGGCCACTCTCTCTCCAATCTCTCAGTCCTGATCCTCAAGAGAAACTTACACAACACTTCCCAGAGACGAGCCTATGAACTCCATTTCATCAACCTCCTGGATACTAGAGATCATGGACTAAACATAGACATTGGATTTTTGACACATTATAATCTGCCTGACAACTGACTCCCCAGCCCAGCCTCTGGCTTCTTTACTTTTCATTCCATCCAGGAAGAGCACACACCAACTGCTGAAACTTCCTTAGCCTGACGAAGGGTTTTTGAACCCGAAAGCTTGCTTAATAACTCTTCTCCAGCTATTTTGGTTGGTCTAATAAAAGATATCAAATTCACCCAAGGAACCTTGTCAGCTCTTCTATAAAAAATATTCCTTTTTCAAAGAGGGACTTCTCTGTGAAACTATGTTTTGTAGTACCACACGTAATGTCTAGTCTCCCAGACACCTAGCATCCCACAGTGTTTGCTTCACCTGCACCACCACCCCACTCACCTTTCACCCCAGCATCTTTAGTTTTGTTACTGCTAATTGTTTTTAAGTATAACTTATTAACTTTTGGGACATTCTTTTCTGATAATTTTATTTGGGAAAGGGAAAATAACCTGTTTCTAGCATTACTGAATATATAATATTATGGAGTTTTAATTTGTCTTCTATCATGTACTGTTTAGAGCCTTTTAGAAGTGTTTATCTTGTACCTTCTTTTTCCTGAATTTCATTTTTTTAAAATGTATTTGTATTGGCTTTTCATTCTGGGAGCTTGTCTTTCCAGTTAATCTGAGAAGGAAACAGAACATTTAATGGCAGTTTCTATACTGTAGTGATTTTGATGAAGGATAGTTTTTGAGAAGCTCACTTTGTACCTTGTTCTGCTTCTGCTACACTCAATAGCCTAAAATCCTGAGGAAACTAAAATCTAGGCCAGTTTTTTTTCCATTTTTGCTCTAGAAAACGAGATGCAGGAATGAGAGTCCTACAAAATGAGGGCATAGACAGACATAACATTTATAGTACTTTGGACAACTTTAAAGCACTGTAAAAATTGAGCAGACAGATGATGCACAGGACTGGCTATAAACTAGCCAGAAACATACAAAAGTGACCTTGGATGAAACAGAGATAACTTTGCAGTGCTTCAGGGTATTAGACAAACATTTATGTGGAATAGCTTCCAAAAGTAGGGGGAGCTGTGGCTTGAAAGAGTGCAGCAGCTGTTGTGTTGTAATTGTTATGTGTGCATGGTCCTGCAACATTACAAGTAAAATAAACCGCATCAGTTTTGACCCTGGATGAAGCAGAGTTAAAATTGGAGCAGTTTTGCTACACTTATGCTTCAAAAAAAGGGCAGAATTTGAAGCACTTCCTGTCTGTCCAAACCCTGATATGTTCAGAAAAGCAATATCAATCATAAGTAATTTTCTCTTACATAGATTTATTTTCAAAACTATATAGATTTTGAATTGTGCATTATATGTATATGCTTCTAAGCATAGAAAGTCATGCACCATATGGCAGCAAATGATATTTTTTTAAACAGCTGAAGATTTTAATTTTAAAACAGATACACATATCGTCATACTTATTTTTTTATGTCAATCAGAATAACAGAAAAATTCAGTAAAAGGTGGATGGGAATTACCAATCATTTTCAGAATAATAAGATACTCTAGATAAGGTCAGGTATTAATGAATCATTACGGCTCATGCTTAGCTATCTCATCCCTAAATCCCAAAGAAGAAATAGAGTTTTCTGTCTATGTGTACATTTTTAAACAAAGAAAGAGCCATCTAGTGGATTGTTGAAGTGATGACTCCAGAATTCTAATTTACTAACAGTCAAATTAAGTATGAGGTAGATGAAAATGGAATATAAAATTTTAGTTGTATGACTTTCTTCCCTGTTTCTCCTAATAAAAAGTGCTAACTGTTACAGGAATATTTTGTGAGAAGCATTAGCAAATTAGAAATTTCAAAAATATTTTTGGTAATGTTGGAATGATATTGTAGCTGTGATGGTCCAGAAAAATATGTGGGAGGCAAGACCTGAAGAAGAATGCTTTGCATTCAAAAGCTTGTCTAAATCTATCTCAGTCAAGCAGTTGGTCCAATAAAAGGTATCACCAACAGAAATCCTTGGCGCTGATATTTTTGTAATCCTGATTGTACTCAAGTTTCCTTATATTAAAACAGCCCAATGTTTTCCTTTTTATTTCAGAGGAAGCAAAGATAAGATTTTTGTTGTTAAGATGAATCCTTATATGCCTGACAGACTGATTACAGCTGGAATTAAACACATGAAATTCTGGCGAAGAGCAGGTAAGGAAAGACATTTTTTCTAAAGTTTTTAACTGAGGCATTTTCTGTTATATTAAATATACTATTACGCCTATCATATTGCTTTTGACATATATACGTGTATATGTTAAGTTAATTTCTTCTAACTCCTGTTAATAATAAAAATTAATTTGCATTATGGTAGTGGCAGAGTCCCCACCCAAAGTCACCTGTCCATTGTGCTAGATGTACTGTGCTACACAGAAAAGTATGTTACCTATTTTGGAATGTTTTGTCCATTTTTACATATAGTAATTAGATAGCTAATAGTTAATGCATGTCAAAGTATATAATAAATAGCTCTAGGACAGTAAAAACAAATACCACTTAATATGTGCAAATCAATATCAAGTGATGCCAAAGGGGAGAAGATGCTTGCTTCATCTGTCTGAAAAAAATTAATTTTAAGCAATGGAAAAACATCCCTGGTATGGTACTCTGAGTTCATTGCATCAGGTCTTAAAAGGCATAAGGAGCTAAATGGGTATCTAAGATTACCTATTTTGCTGATGAAAATACTTTTATTTTTTTAAAGAATCTCTAAATACTCAGACATCAAAAATAGTTTTAAAGATACATTATCTCTAATGCAGATCAATTCCTTCCCGGAAGGAGCCCTTTTGAAGCAAAATTCTTAAGAGCCAGCGAATGTTTAAGTGCGAGGAAAAAGGTGACTCTGGTCATCTCAGTTATGGACTGCCCAAGAAATCATTCAAGTTGAACCCAAACTCCAACAGGCTATTTCTGTGCCAATTATTAATTTTTAGCAGGTTTTTTTTGAATGGTGACTAAAGCAAGAACTGGCAGAAGGCAGCATAAATTTGCACCTTATAGACAAACTAAATTAGAGCTGGATACCATAAGCTTTTGTAAGCACTGCTTGGGCTTTTGTGCCCCGGAGAGATCACTCCAGCTTTGCTTCATCTTTCAAGCGAGGCTTACGTTCAGTGGGCTGATGTCTCACTCAGTGTAATTGTATTGTCTCATGAGACAGACAGATGCCTACTAATATTTCATCAGATGCTGTGAAGGGACTGCCTTCGCAGTAAGAACTAACACACTTTGGGCTAAACCCTGTTTCACTTTATATGTGTAAAGGGCATGTGTGCAGCCACACAGCTGCAGTTTTTGGCACTTCCGCAATTTGAGATTTTGTTTCATCGTCTGACAAAATAGTATCACCATGCAGGCATAATTGCTGGGCTGTGGCAAACAGTAGAGGAACAGTGCTACAGGTTTGCTGAAGCGGGGGCGGGGCTGTCACTTCCTTTTCTTTACCACTATTTAAACACCATTTTTCAGTGGCAGATAAAAAAAAGATGACATCTTCCCCCCCACAGCAATGAACCTGCTGCTCCTGCAGTGGGTGGTACAACTGATGCTCTGCCCTCCCTGCTGTAGAAGTCAGAGCCAGAAGCACTGCAGGGAAGGTACAGGGTGTGTGGAGGGAGAGGAGGTGAAGCAGCCCCCTTGCTCCACTGTGGTGTCACCCTGCTCTTCTCCTCCCCCCCGAGGCAGTGCTTGTGGCTTATTTGCCCACCCATTATTACATTACTGGGTCCTCCCATCTTTTAACACAAAAACTTAGTGGTTAAGACATTCATTCACAGAGAAGGAGACCAAAGTTCTAGGCTGTCTTCTCCCAAAGTGGTTTGAAACTGTGTCTTCCCAGCAAAGTGCTTTTCCCACCAGGCCAAGGCCTAGGCATTACCAAACTGTTATGTAGGCTTCTACTTGAAGCTGACCCCCTGAACCTTGAATTTGATCTTCTTTAGATATAATGCGTCAACAGCACTGGGAATTTTCCTAGAACTCAGGGCCTTCTCCCTTTCAGGATAGCATGCATTTCACTGACCTCTCACCCTATGGCTTATTTTCTTTCCTTCTCCCAGCATATTTCCCTCCCTTGGCTGCTTAGTGGACCTGGATAATGCCTCATCTATGGCTTGATAGGAAGTAGGAAAGACAGGTTCAGACCCTTTCTGACAGAGGGGAGTCTCGAACCTGAGTCTTCCACTCTGGGCAAGACTGTTGGGTTAAAAGGAAAAACATCCCCTGTATGGTATTCTGAATTTCAGGAGGGCCTTCCTTCTCCTTTTCCTTGTTTTTCTGTGGCTAAGATTTGAGGACTTACCTGGCCTTATGTATGTAGTTAGGTGGTTCTGTCTCACCCTGCAGCATGCTCAATGGGGCTGTGCTCTGGTTTGTGTGCACAAAATTGATTTACAAATTGTGTGAAAGAATGCAGTTACACAGTTGTCTATGTGCCATTTAGGTACATAAAGCCCTTGGTTTAAAATGAGGTGCCTGGTTAGTAACATAGCCTTTTGGAGGGGATTAGACACAACCCCCAGGGTAAGCATTCAGAGTAAGGTAAGAAGAGCCCAAAGAAAAGTTTTCATCCATTTGATTGGGTGAAAAAATAGAGAATGTGCTTTTTCTGCATTGAACTGGAAATGCTTTTGGGACTGGTATATACCAGTTTGTGCTGAGTGACACTGCAGTCTCTGTTCAAGACAGTGATGCCAAAGATCATGAGATCAATATATGCTGCTGGTAGTAACACTGGAATCAAAAAGACTATGTAGTCAATAAGCATGAAAATATTAACACTCATATGATGCCAAGGCATATATATTTTTCAAAGATGAACTAAAGAATGCATATAGAGGTAGTACCATCTAATCATTATGAAGGAGAGTTACCAAAGTAAGTATAAGCCCTGAGCTGTAAGTCTGTCCTACCATATTCCAAGTAAAGAGTCACTGCTAAATTATATACTTTAGTATCACATGTAAGGCCACATGTGATACTGAAGTATATAATTTAGCGCAGAATTGGCACAAACACTAAATGCTAGTAAACTGGTTCAGAGGCTTTTCATTGAGGTGCTGTGCAGTACTTTGAAGATGTCAAAGTTCTGAGTCCTACCATTTAAGGTGGCACTATTTTCACAAAGACAGAGCAGCACTGACAATTTTGTGAATATAGACATCTGGTTTTCCAGCCTGCAACCCTTCAGATTTGTGGAAGTTGCCACCATGACATCCTGGGGAAAATGCTACTTTACATACATATTAGTGGTTTTTAAAATATACTAGCCAGTTGTCTATCAGGAATGACAGTGGGGAGCAGGGATGGAGCGCCGCCACCCACCACCTTGTGCCGCCACCTCCCAGGAGCGGGGGTGGAGGGGGGGAGGGGCGGGGAAGCTTGCCCTGCCGTCCCCTCTATCCCTCTCGGCCAGCAGCCTGTGCCACCGCCACCTTCAGGGAGCAGGGCCAGAGGGGGCCTTGCCGCCTCCTGCTCTATCCCCTCTGTCCCCACCATCATGGCAGTGCTCCGCTGCGCTGCTGCTGCTGCCTCCTATCCAGAATGTTTTTGGAGCACTCTGATTGGTTGGTTCAGTCAGCATTGTGATTGACTGCCGAGACAACCAATCACAGTGCAAATAAAGCATTACAGACAGACAGACAGACAGTCAAAGGTTTGTATTATATTAGAATTGGTAATAAAATTTCTGTCACAGTTTTTTAGTTTTAAGTGTGGGATTTAAAACTAAAATTAAAAAATAATTTTTCTTAAAAAATATTCCATAAAAAGAAAATAATGTTAGTGTTTAAAGTTATTTATGGGAATAATGCAATTTTAGACCCATTCTATTAAGCCCTTTACTGTGCCATAGAAGTTAAGCATATATTAAAATCTACATACCCACCCACATAAGCAAATGAGTTTTTTTCTATTTCTCACATGTTTATATGCTTGTGTGTATATACATTAAAATATTGATTCAACTAGTATGTAAAGTCATTGATTCAACTAGTATGTAAAGTCTTGAAAAGTGCCAGAAATTGCAAAAATTATGCCTTAGAAAAAGAAGTTTTAAGGGTTTTTTTATAAGGGTGAAGGTAGAAGGAAAGAGATTTATTATTTTGAATATGTTGTCCCATATAGTCTTATGAAAATGGTAGTTGAGTAAGCATTGATTACATATTTTTACTCTAAACCAGGGGGAGGACTGATTGGGAAAAAGGGCTGCATAGGTGCAATGGGAAGAATGGATACAATGATGTGTGCAGTATACGGCTGGACTGAAGAGATGACATTCTCTGGAACTTCCACTGGGGATGTGTGTATCTGGAGAGATTTGTTTCTCATAAAAACTGTCAAAGCACATGATGGTCCAGTGTTCAGCATGCATGCATTAGAAAAAGTAAGTGAACTATTGGGATATTAAATGAGATGTCATTTGGATTTAAGAAGATTCCCTTCATGGCTAAACCTAACAAGAATGCAGTCGTCTTCTATGATGGAACTAGAGTTCTGAATTGTAGCCTACTTTCAGGTCAGAAGGATATGGGCATGCTGAGTCTCTTAGAAACTCATCCACCTGCTCATAGAAGGACCAAATGGAAGTCCTTTCCCCCCGCCCTCCCCGCTACGCATAGGCTGCTCTCTGTCTCCTGGGTCTCTGCAGTGCCTCCCTGAGGTGCTGCTCTCATATCCCACCCATGCCATAGCCCTGACACTGTAGGGCAAAGCAGCTGAAAGTCACTGCATCAAGACATCGTATCTGAGTGGCTCCCCCGCTGCCCAGGGAAAAGGCCCCTATAGATGATGACTGTACCAATTTGGGTTGTATTTAAGCAAGTTTATTATTATGTTTTGGTGACATTTTGGCTGATTTTGTTGTGGCATGCCCTCCTATGTTAAGTTATTCCTAGTCATGACACCTTGAGAGTGAATAAAACAGGTAAAAGTGGGGGTCTTTCTGAGGCCCAAGGGGATCTCAGGGTTCCCCTTTTGATTAGAGGAGTGGGAATTCTGTTATGTTACATTGAATAAAATATGTAACATATTCTGTGTTAGAATCATAGAATCATAGACAATTAGGGTTGGAAGGGATCTCTGGAGGTCATCTAGTCCAACCCCCTGCTCAAAGCAGGATCATCCCAAACTAGAGCATCCCAGTCAAAGCTTTGTCTAGCCGGGTTCTGAAAACCTCCAAGGATGGAGCTTCCACAGTCTCTCTGGGTAACCTGTTCCAGTGCTTTACTACACTCCTAGTGAGAAAATGCTTCCTAATATCTAACCTAAACTTCCCTTGCTGCAACTTGGGACCATTGCTCCTTGTTCTGTCATTAATTTTGGGATAAAAAAATTCTAAAAATAAAAATATTACTTCTACCAACACTAACTGTACTTCTGACTCACTAGATACCTAGTATTTATTAATCATAATACAGTATGGGCATACCTACACAAATATTTGAAGGGTGCAAATCTCAAGGGGAAAAATATTACTACATGAAGCACTAATTGTCACTTGGAGTAAGTGTCAAGATTTAGGCTAAATATCATGAAAAATATCCTGACAATGAATAAATGAGGCAGTTAAGTTATTTTCCTAGAATGGCAAATGCAGGCCTTATTGCTTGCAACTTTTAAATTGAGATTGGGAAATGTATCAGAGAATACTACACTGCATTGGCAGGGAGAAGGACTGGGTAATTTAATAGGTGTTTTCCATCTAAACTTTTAAAGATTCTGTGAATTTACAACTACAGTATTGCATGTGGTAATGTCATTATAACACTGAGTAAAGACAATCTTTAAAAAATACTAACCTGTCTTTTTTGGTAGGGATTTGTAACTGGAGGAAAAGATGGGGTAGTGGCTCTTTGGGATGATACCTTTGAACGCTGTCTCAAAACCTATGCCATCAAACGAGCTGCTTTGGCACCTGGCTCTAAAGGTGATTTGAGGAATTAGGTCATTTTATGGTACATCACCCTATACTCTGCGTTTAAGTCTGTGTTTTAAACACTTTTTTTTAGTAAGGTGTTTCTATAGAATTGTCTTTCTTCATAATCAGAGGAAATTAGATTTTGTTGTGGTAAAAATTGCAAAAGGAAAATTAAAGTTTTGGGGAAAACCTTTGGGTCTAGTTACATTTGTTTCTTTTCTGACTGTCGCCTAGTGATAAAGATGTTCATGTAAGATGTGGGACATCTTGGTTCAAATTCCTGCTCTGAATCAGGCAGAGAGTGAATCTGATCTTGGATGAACTGAGTATTTGAATCTACTACTGTGTGTCCTAACCAGTAAGCTCCAGGGTGTTTTGTAGTATTTCATTAGTCTTTCCTGCTAGAGCTGTTTCACTTTGTATAAAATACTTAAATATTCAGACAGAGTGAGTGAGAGAATTAGTCTCTAACCCAGGGGTTAGAACACTCAGGTATATGTGGGACACCTGAGTTTTGGGCCCCGATCCTGTGATGTTTAATCATTTATACAAATTGAAACACTATCAGTGGGAGAAATTCATAGACTCCAACATACCCTGTAGTATAGTAGCCAGAGGAGCTAGGGTTTGATCACTTAAACCAGTTTAAGCCATCAGAAACTGGTTTAAACCTATAACAGAACAATTGTTCAGTGCACATAAACCAGTTTGAAAATGGCTGGAACCAGTTTGAGATAAACCTGGTTGAATGTAATATCAGACTTAACTGATTTGGGTGAAACCGGTTTATGCAACACCTGTTCCAGATCCCTTGTTGGTTTAAATTAAACCAGACTCCCTCAGCATCCCAGCATGCTCTCTGGGTTGGGCAGGGCTCTCTGCTCCACAGCAGAGCTGGTCCCTCCTCTCTGCTCCCTGCTTGCAGCTCTGGCAGAGACTGCAGGCATCTGCCTGGTTTCCCCCACACCACTCCCTGCTAAATAGGAATTGCCCTCTCTCCTCTTCCTTACACAGACACCTCTTAGCATTAGCTAGCAGACCACATGATCTGTGCTGGCTATGATCTGTGCTGTGGCAGATGGGACAAAGCCCTCAGCATTGTGTAAGGGAAGGGGGGCTGCTGTAGTGCCCCCCAGCTTCTAGCCTGAGTCACTGCAGGCATGTGCCTGCATTTTTCCAGTCCAGGGGGGATGTCTGTACAGTTACATATTTGTTTAGCTTAACCAGGGCAGACTAATCTGCAAAAATTGAATCAGTTTAGGCTCAGGCTTTTTGAATGTCTGTCTCTAGCCCTTGTGATCACACCCAAGAAGGCATGTTTTGCATTTGAAAGTTTGTCTAACTCTATCCCATCTACACAGTTGGTCCAATAAAATGTATCACCCTAAGAAATCATTGCCTCTTACATAGTTTCTAGACTGTTGTGGCTACAACATCACTCTTACACTGACCGTTATAGGTTAACTCTCTTTATAAATATACTGTGCTCTAAGGTGCTATAGGTAAGTGTTGTATAGAAATATGTTAGATAGCAACTTATCTCAATGTATAAAAATTTCATTCACTGAGGTTTGCAGGAAGCCTGTTAGTTAGCAAAGTTATTGCTTTCCTCAGTGAAATTTAAGGAGGGCCTAATAAGTTTAAGAATCATTGATAGTTGTTTTATGTATCAGGTTTATTGGGGAAGGATAAGACACAAAAACTGGGAACCTGATTGTATGGATTGTATGGGGAACCTGTAATAACCATCACAGAGGGCAATATTTTAAAACTGTCTAATGTGTTAAATCTACACAAATAGAGCCAAAGCAAGGTTTCACTAAAAGGACCAATGTTGATGTTTGTTTTCTATTGGGTGTAATGTATAGATTTATAAAAAGATACTCTTAAAATAAGTTGCATACACTTGTGGAATTAAAGTTTTTCCCTTTTAAAATGTTAATGTTTTAGGTCTCCTTTTAGAAGATAACCCCTCTATACGTGCCATATCATTAGGACATGGTCATATTTTAGTGGGCACAAAAAATGGTGAAATACTAGAGGTGGATAAAAGTGGACCAATAACTCTGCTGGTTCAGGTATATTTCAAATTATAATTACATGTTTCTTATTGTTTTCATATCCTTCCTAGAATGTGGTAGTCTGAAAGAGTTTGTCACAAGTAGAAAAAAACAAATAAAATTGACATGAGCTCATAAGCACTGTACTTGTTAATGAATCTTGCAGTAGGGGTGTGCGAAGCAGATAGTATTCAATTCAGATTTGGCCCGATTTGGGGGACAGCGATTCAATTTGCTGATTTGGATCACTATCCCAATTCGATTGGCTGAATCTGAAGATTTGATTCTGATTCAGAGAACCAGTGATTCGGCCATAAACACGGCTTTATATGTTTTTTCTACATACCCTGAGGTACTAGGCGCAGCTCATGAACACTGATATGGTAGGGCAGATGGAGCATCCCACAGGAGTGTGGGGCGGGAGGGGTCCCCCACGCGCTCGGCGGCGGAACCAGAAGTGGACCAGAAATACTTCCAGTCCACTTCTCAGTCCACCACTAAGCGTGCAGGGGACCCCCCATGCCTCCCCGGCTCAGTGATCAGCCACAGGGGTACCCCGGGTGTCCCCCCAAACCCAAGAGACACCAGTTGCTGAGCCGGGGGTGGGGGGTCCCCCACATGCTCAGCAGCAGACCCGGCAGAAGTATTTCTGGTTCACTTCTGAGTCCACTGTCAAGCAATTTGGGGACCACCCTGCACTCCCGTGGGACACTCCATGTGCCCCACCATCTTAGTATTCACGAGCCATGTCTGATACTTCAAGGTATGTAGAAAAAACATATAAAGCTGTCTATGGCCAAATTGTCAAATGACTCCAAATTGATTCGGAGGATTCAATTCGGAGAGGTTAATGGGTCTCCTGATTTGATTCAGAGATTTAGCCACCGAATCGGGCCGAATCTCCTTCGAATCGAATCAGTGACCGAAGCTTCGCACAGCCCTAGCTTGCAGACTATTAGAAGGAAAGAATCTGTTCATTTACTTTGACATGCTGCAAAACAGGCCAATGCTCAGTTTCTCACTAGGGTCTTTTCCCAATATTATTTACTATAATTTAAAATTGCATTTTAATCAGCAGCTTTTTAACTTTTAGGATATTTTTTATTGATTACTATGTTAGATTGTCATCTTTGGGAGCTTTTCTTTATTATACATAGCTTTATAACTTCCTTATGTATTGTTTTGCACAATAAAGTACTCGATTAATTTTGTTTTTACAGGGTCACATGGAGGGGGAAGTTTGGGGTCTAGCTACCCATCCTCATTTACCTATTTGTGCCACTGTAAGTGATGACAAAACCTTAAGAATATGGGATTTATCTCCTAGCCATTGCATGTTAGCTGTTCGCAAGTTGAAAAAGGGTAAGATGTTAGTATGAGAAGAGACTTTTACTTAATTTTAGCTTGTACTTATTAGTATTCTATTAATTCTTTTTTCATTACTTCATACAAGCTCATTGATAAGGCATTAATGAGTTATATAGCCCCAACCTACTTAAGAGAATATATCTTTAAGCAATATTTACATTTATAAGTGGTTTTAGGATTATCTGCAGGTGTTAGCAATTAAAAATATCTAAATTTAATATAAAAATCAAAGAACTAGTCTTAAAGCTATATATTGTGTCTAATATTACAGGCATTTTAAACTGGAAGATTTTTCATATTTATATATACTGTGAAATAGGATGTTTTTGGAAGAAACTACAAGATTAAGGTTGAATTACCAAGTTATTATTTGAGCTAGTCCGCAGGGTTACAATACTATTTTGTGAAATGTATTGGTTTTTTTGGTTAAAATTGTGAAGATGACCTACTGGAAAAATACATGAAACCTGACAGAAAATACATTAGCTATTTTAGCTCCATAGCTCTATAATTATTATTAGAGTTTTTCACCAACATATTTTTCACCAAAATATGCCAGTTGGTTGAAACTTTTTTTTCGTAGAGGACATCAAGGTAATAAAGATTACCCTATGTGGTTTGTCCAGAACAGATTGTGCCAAACCAATCTAATTTCCTTCTGAGACAAAGTGGAAGTCCTCTTCATAGTTAAGGGGACGTAGTAGATTACTTTAGTGAGACTCTTAGCACTGTACCACATTACTTTTTATAATCAAAAGAGTCTAGATGATCACAATAAGTTGGATACACAAGAAGTTGAAAAAAATATTCCAGTAGCTACAAATGGCTTGCTGTCAAACCCTGAAGACAGGGGGATGTTAATGGATCTAATTCTGTTCCATACTTGGATAAAGGACTAAAGAATACATGTATGAAATCTATAGCTGAGTGAAGTTGTAAGCACTTGGGAGAACAGGATAGGATTCAAAATCTTGATAAATTGAAGAAATCGACCAAAATTAACAGAACGAAATTCATTAGAGGCAAGTGCAAAGAATTTCAGTTAGAAAGGAGAAATCAAACGCACAGTATT